AAGTGATGATGGTATAGAGTCAATAATGGTGGTACATAAAATATGTTTATTTTGCCTGGTCGAACAAATAAAGTAGTCTTGGACTCTTGCCAAAACGAATAATTATATAAACAATAAAGACCACATAAATGAAAGGCCATGGCCACAGTAGGCCAAAAAGTGCCCTCTAAGGTTCTGCATAAAAGTCATTTGACTACCTAAAGTCAAAAAAAAATATTGTTATTTTGACTTCCTTTTACTTAGCCTTTACCTGATATCTGGATATGCATCCATCCTTCCATCAATTAGATCATCAAATTATGGTTCTCATTTTCTCACAAAAGGCTATATCTATTTTTCAGTTTACATGTTAATCAATTCCATCAATTTTTTAATTTTTTTATTAATTTTTGTTTTTTTAAATATAGTAAATTATTGTTAATACATTAAATACAAATGATGTTGCTAAAGTCATGGAATAGAGTGGCAAAACAGTTGAGCCAAACCCATCAGTGAAAAATACTAATATTAAATAATAATAGAGCCAAAGCACCCATCTGTTTCAGCTCTTTTATCTCTGTCAGTCAGTGTTTTGTCTTTGGATCTTTTTTTATTTATTGGTAATTGTCTTTGGATTTTGTGGATGGTTGGTCTTACGAAAGCTTTGTCTTTACTGAAATCAAACGGCACCAACTCCCACTATGATTTACTTTTTGACAAAATTCTCAATAATTTTAGTGAAGTTTTCCATCTCTGCATGTCTTTTTCTTATATTAATTAATTAAATAAGAAACAACAAAGTCTAATCAAAACTCCAATGTTTTTTTATTTTTACGTAAGTAATCAAAAGTCCAATGTTACACGCTCAAACTTTGAAAAGGATATATTATTTCTAGGTATTTATGTTATTTTCATAAATCCCTTTCACATCATCTCATTTTTTTACTTACTATTCAAAGGTTCTACTAGTATATTTTTCACCCTATTTGTTGAGTTCGGACAGCAATTTGAGTTACATGCCACCTAAATTGATATAATTGGATACGCTTTTGTCTTCAAGATTTTGAAAACAAAATTGAGTAGGATTTGAGAATTCACATTATCCTGACCAAGATAAAAATAAGAATAAATTATAAAATAAAATTAAGGAGGAGAGAAATTAAATAAAGATATTGAATAATTATGGTAAATTGACTATTAAAGTTAACATTATTAATTATGGTTAAGTCTGATAAAGTGTAATTGAGTAATTGAGTTTTAGTCGGTTGAAAAGTCTGTTATTTTGGATCGCATGAAAACTTTCCTAATATATATATATGGATGGTTATAATGAGATTATGAGGGTAACCTTTTACACATCCTTTATCTCCTCAATAGAAATAAAAGATGAACTATTATTTTACTTTTTGAACAAAAATCTTAACATGATAAGTGAATTGTCTAATCGAATGTTTTTTATTGTTATTTATGAAAAATACAAGTAAGTGGAGAGCCCCACTTCCTTATTTATGGTATAAATGACCAATTAAAAATAGTATATTTGACAATTCAATGCAGTAATTCGGTTTAAAAATTATTTTTCATGTTAATATTATAAAATTATATAATTTTAAAAATGATATTTTGAAATTTTAGAATAAGAGTTTAGAGGGTTTTTTGGGACCTTAACAATAAATCTTGATACATTTTGTAATTATTTTTCTTGATTCAATTAAAATAAAAAATTAACTTTTAAAATAAATCAATTTATTATTTAGGACTCCAACTCTATCTAATGTATGGTTTTCCAAAACAAAAATCAACTGAAAGTTTAAACAACTTTTAGATATCAAAACTTTTTAGATTCTCGTTCCAATCCACCAAACAGTCTATTAATGAAAAATGATATTATTCACAACTTTAATACCCGACTTAAAATTAACACATAAAATTATGATGTGGTTATTATAAAATTTAGGCATTATTGCTACTCTTACTTTTTCCCATAAAATAAGTCCATTTCTCTTTCCTTATCTTTTCAATTTTTTACAGCCCCTTTCCCTTTTTTTTTTTAGTTTTCCATAGCGTTATCATCTTCTTTTACGTTTTTATAGCAAATTTCATGGTACTCAAATATAATAATTTGATTTGAACAAAATCTAAAACAAAAACTGCAATATTTTATAACTTTTCAATGCTTTGCAATTTTTTTTTTTTAGAAATTCCTACTGGTTTTTTTCTTTTTGGGATAACAAATGTCTATCTATAAAAATATTAGATGGATATTAATGATTAAAGACATAATCTTTTATATATAACAAAGGGATACACAATCTAATTCTAAAAAAGAAGATACAATATGAAGTATCTCAAAAATCTTTACAGAAGTGCAATGTGATGTATATATAAAATAAATATATAATTTAATATATATGATAATTGAAACTTTAATAGATAACACAAATAAGATACTACAACTTTTTAAATAATTAATTACCTCTTATTTTAAAACAGGTCACGTTATATTTGACACATAAATAATCATTTATACTCAGTAAAATAGTATATTTTTATTTGTCAGAACAAAAAGCAGGACTCTTTTATGAGTTCTATCCTTACCTGAAATGACATTATATGCCAAGACAAATATATATATATATATATATATATATATATATGGGCAGAAAAGACAAAGATCTATTCAAGCATACCAATGAAATAGATTAATCATTATAATATCATAAAAGCCTATATTCAAATAATCCGACACTTGGTGTAAAGTTTTGGGATTTGAAAATATAATAATAATAATAATATGTAGTATTGGAAGTGTTGCTATACTCAGCCTCCAACAAAATATATTTTATTTTCACAATCTCCGTAACATTTACTTCCCCGCTGCTAGCAAAAACGTCATATGCTTTGCTTTAAATCTATTTCAAAATATTTGTCACTTTTTTTTTTTCAAATAATATATTTTACATTTTTTTATGTATGTTTATAAAGTTTAAAACTTTAATATTCAAAACTTAAAAAAATTAATTAACAATTTTTCAAAAAGACAAGATATATCCTACATGTCCTTTTAATAACTCTTTAAAAACGACATCTAAACTAAAACAGAAAGTATATTTTATACCCGTCCATGTTGGAGGATTAACAAATTAATACTACAACTGAATTTATTGAAAATAATGTTCATATTAAACTTGAACCTAGTAATTGGATGAGTTCACGTGAGTTCCATTGTAGTCTACCAAATGTAACTCGTTGAACAAATAGTTTAACAATCTAAAATTATTACCACTTATAGTGGGACTCTTCTGTGAACGACACTGGTGTCATAAAATCAGATGGTTGTAAAACACAGAATCATTAAATTCCCCAACAACTATTTTGAACATGAGTGTCTACTCTTTCGGCGTTTGATTTTCTGAATCTACGATTAGAATGAAATTTTCATACAATTTCAGTTAAATTCAGACACTTTAATTACGAAAAGTGAACTCAGGATACACTAATTATTATCATTTAATAATTTTAAATTTTATCTCCATTACAAAATATGTATTTACAAATGTTTAATTCAAAATTTTCATTTTTTTAAAATAAAAAATTCACTCTTTGTGACTTCAAAATAAATTCGAATAAGTTTATCTCAAATCTCTCAATTTCTTTTGAAAATTCAATCTTTATACATTAAAACGATTTAGTGACTTAAAAGATACCTTAATTGAGGTATATTCATTCAAAAATTCGTCTTATTAACTTTATTTGTGATTTATGTCACTTTAGGAAGGGACTAGTTGTGATTTTGTTGTGTTACTCTTGTTATTGTCATATTCATTTTTAATTTTAGCCCTTTAGAGAGAAATATATAAATCTAATTGGCACGGGTGCTGGCCTAATGTTCTGAATTCAATTTTTATCAAGTGCAGATGTCTTGGGTTTGACTTGAAAGGTCCAAAAATGTATGAATTTAAATAATAAGTATAGTTTAACATAATCGAGGATATATATGAATCCATGAATTTATGTGGCTAGGGTATGTTGACCATCTCCCAAAAATGTTTTTAACACAAAAAATTTGGAAGACTGATCAATCTTACTGTAAATGGCCAATCCAAGTTGTACCGGGGTGTTTCTCCTCAAATTATATGCATCATTTGAATTTGTTGCAATTATTGTAATATGTTATTTGTATGTGAACTCAAAAGTGACGGAAGGTGTTTTTCATTTCATTCCTTGCACTGATTTGATAGTGCACATGGCCATTAAATGAAATTTCAAGACATTGACAATTTATGACTGTCTCATGCACTTATTAACCTCTAACATCTAATAATGATCTGTCATATTCAAAATTTTAGTGAAAATGAGAAGAGAGAGATTCATTTTGTAAGTTATTGTTTTTGAATTTTAGAAACTTTTTTTTTTTTTACTTTACTACCATGATCAATTTATTTAATTTTTTTTTGGTAATTAAAGACCAAATTTATTCATTTTTCTTGCATTTATTCAAATAAGAGGATGATAATCCTTATTGTTTAATCATTCTCTCGATAATTATAAAAAATTAATTTAGTTCAATGTCTCTATTCATCTATATATATATTTTTTGAAATTCCATCAAATATGTTAACAGTGCAATGAGATTGATTTCCAAACAGAATTATACATTGTCACGTAATGCATAAATTCTTATGTATGTCAAAGAATGTTTAAACTTTTGAAAAGTGATAGCAGGGTTTTGATTCTTGAATAGTGAAGTTGAATTTTTATTTTCTTTTTAATTTTCTCAAAAGATGAGAAAAAGAAAATTTTGAAAAGGTAATGCTATTTAAACAAAAAAAAAAAATTCCAACACAAGAACTATAAACTTGTCATATTTAAACACTAAATTGAAACATTACTCAATTTTGAATAATCCAAAAGAAATCTAGGGACAAAAGTGTAATATCAAAACCTAGTGGTCCAGACGTAATAACTCTCAAAACACTGGACCTATTAAAAACTTTCATTTCCTTTTCAAATCCATTACATATGTGTGCGTGAGCTAGAGAGAGAGTGTCCGTCCCATAGATGTCCTCTGGCATCTCTCTCTCTTACCTATCAATCAATTCCCCCTTTTCCCTCCATTCTCTCTCTCTTCTTCTTCTCTCTACACGCATTCAAGTTTCAACCCTCTCTGTTGCGCTGTTCCAACTTTCTTCAACACAGAATCCATGACCACTCCACATCCTTTCACACCTTGCACAATTCATTCTTTCCATTCATACTCCAATCCACCCTAAACACACACACACACTCTCTCTTCTTCTTCTTCTTCTTCATTACCAAATCCTTTCGCGGTCCTTCAACACTTCGCACTCAATTCAAGATCTACAAATATTCCTTGCAATGAATCGAATCAACGGGTTTTGTACACATTGAAGATTCAAAAGGCTTCATTTGCTTCTTAGTCGATGCAACAATGTGCAAAATATATAGTACTCTCGAATGAGAAAATTTGAAGCTTTTGGAGAAATTTGAGCTTCAGATCTCAGAAAATCTTTCGCTGCAAACTGAAGTAGCAATGGTGGTTGAACCTTGGATACTGAAGATGGGGAACCAGGTAAGCTCTAATCTCAAGCATGCTTTACTTCTCGAAACTTCGAAGAAAACAACAAAATTGCAAGAACACAAAGAAATTATTGGAATTCTCTCTTTCGAAGTCGCTAATGTGATGTCTAAAACTGTGTATCTCTACAAATCTTTGAATAATCAAGAGATCTCTAAGCTCAAGAGCGAGATCTTGAAATCTGAGGGTGTGAAAAACCTAGTTTCCTCCGACGAGTCCTACCTCCTCGAGCTCGCGCTCGCGGAGAAGCTCGACGACTTGAACAGGGTCGCCGGTGTGGTATCGAGGTTGGGGAGGAAGTGTACGGTGCCGGCGTTGCTAGGGTTTGAGCATGTGTATGGGGATATAGTGAGTGGAGCGATTGATGTGAAGGAATTAGGGTTTTTGGTGAAGGACATGGAAGGGATGGTGAGGAAGATGGAGAGGTACGTGAATTCGACGGCGAAGCTTTACTCCGAAATGGAGGTGTTGAATGAGTTGGAACAAGCCACCAAGAAGTTCCAGCGGAACCAGCACGAGGAGAGTTGGAGGGCGTTCGAGCAGAAATTGATTTGGCAGAAGCAGGATGTGAGGCATCTCAAGGATGTTTCGCTGTGGAACCAGTCATTTGATAAGGTTGTGGAGTTGTTGGCGAGGACGGTGTGTACAATTTATGCAAGGATTTGTATGGCGTTTGGTGATGCCTCTTTGAGGGGAGAATTTATGGGTTGTTCTGTTTCAGGGGCACAATTGGGTTGTGGAGCTAGTTCACCTTCTTTGAAGGAGGAATGTGGGCAGAAATCTGGTCAAATTGGTATAAAACGCACCGTTTCCAATTCTCTAAGACCAGTTTTGAGCAGGAATAATGCTTTTCATTCAGGACTGATTGGTAGAAATGTGGTGGAGAAAAGGGGGGCAAATTTGAGGTCCCATATTGCATCACATAGAGGTGAAGCACCACCATTGTTTCGTCCTGATGATTTTAATTTTGCATGTGGAACAAGTCCTGGGAGGCTTTTCTTGGAATGCCTTAGTTTGAGCAGCTCAGCTTCTAAAATGGATGATGAAGATGATCACATTGGTTATGATGATCGAAGTAGTCAAACTTCAGGGGTTTGTAGTGTTGCAAATAGTGTGAAGAGAGATCACCCAAATCATTCAAGTTGCTTAAATCGGGCCTTTAGTGTTCCTTTCAGTGAAGATCAAAGACAAGCCAAGTGTAGTGTGACAAGCAGTTCGCGCTTCGGCCCCAAAAGCAGCTTAATAGTACATGCTCCTCCTAGCACTGTTGGGGGCTCTGCATTAGCCTTGCATTACGCAAATGTCATAATTGTCATAGAGAAGCTACTTCGCTATGCACATTTAGTCGGTGATGAAGCCAGGGATGATCTGTATCAGATGTTACCTACAAGTTTAAGAATGTCTTTGAAGACTAATCTGAAGTCTTATCTCAAAGATTTGGCAATATATGATGCTTCTCTTGCCCATGATTGGAAAGACAGGCTCGATGGGATACTTAGGTGGCTTGCACCCATGGCACATAGCATGATCAGGTGGCAAAGTGAGCGGAATTTTGAACAACAGCAAATTGTCACCCGAACAAATGTACTTTTGCTTCAGACGCTGTATTTCGCTGATAGGACCAAGACAGAGGCTGCTATCTGTGAGCTTCTTGTTGGGTTGAACTATATATGCCGTTATGAGCATCAGCAGAATGCATTATTGGACTGTGCAAGCAGTTTCGACTTCGATGACTGTGTGGATTGGCAACTGCACTATTGAGCTCTTATCTTCATTGGTTACCTTCTTGGAGTTCAGTATCTGATGATGGTGGTAGTTCTCTTTAGCTTCTATACTTTTGTACGAAGACAAATAGAAGTAGTTCGACATGCTGTGAATATCAGAACTTTGCACATTGGAGAATTCTATTCTTAGAAAAAGGTGTTGATTTTTGTATTTTCTTGCAAGGTATGGGAAGTTTGGACTTCTGAAGTACACAACTACACTACTTTATGAACATCAAGCTGTGTTTCTGTTATGTAGAATGCACATATATTGTTTGTGTACTCCTGAAGTACATTATTCCACTTATTTATGAAAATGAAGTATCTTCAGTTTCTATTACTTTTAGTATGTGCATATATTGTTTATCTACCAGTAGCATTTTTTAATTTATCAAATTATCTGATCTATCATTCAATTCTTAATCACTGGGAGTTAAGTTAGCAATAATACAATTGCTGGTATCAACTTCTTTTCCATTTCAGTAACTGATGAAAGTAATAGCTAGACTCTAATCCAGACAGGAAGATAGTGATAGAACTGAACTGAAAATTAGACTTTACTACTTCCACACTCCCTGGTTGTGAGTTGTAGTTTTATGCACACACATACACAGTGTCTTTCTCCAAACTAAAATTTGATGCCAATGTATACTTAATTCTCGTGTTAATCCTTGTGGACTATAAGATGTGCAGTAAAGTTTGATAAGTTGTAGGATATATGAAGAATTGAAGGAAGAATCATTTTTGTAGACTCAACACTGTGGTGGAGAAAGGGGCTTTCTGTCAAATCCAGAGTAGTGGATCTGAAGAACATGACCTGAAGCTGTGAAACGAGCATCCCTTGTTTAGATTATGTGATTTGGGTTTTGCCTAATAAATCCAGTGCGTTCTGGTGGAAAGCACCATTTATGGGCATCCTAGATTTGATGTTTCTTCTTATCTTGATCATGCTTGGAAAGCAACATATGACAAATTAGATGTTGAATTATAAATTTTGGTTAACTTTCTTATGGTAATTTTAATGATCATCGTTTCTAGATCACTATGGATATGACCATCAACTCAAAGACGGTCACAAAGGTCCCTGTGTATTGAACTCACACCTGCACATATTATTAAAAATTGCTGATATTTTGGTTTATGTCAAAAGAAATTGAAGTGATAGTAAATATATGAAAGAAATGAAGTGTTGCAATTGCTGATTTAAAGCAACTTGCCTCTGTTTTTGCGATTTGGTTAATCTTGTTTTCCTACCTTTCTGGATCAGGTATCTCTTCACTGTTTTTTCTTTAATTTAGTGACAGCACCTTTTAGCTTGCTTTATACTTAATGTGTAGATGCTTCTTCCTGAGATCATACTGGTTTATAACTGTATGAGGAATATATTGTTATCTATTGCATGTAGTTGTATCATACTACATATAGAACTTCACTAGTATTTTTTTCAGGTGCTAGGGAAATTCTTTCTTTTACATACTGCAATCATGCTCTTTCTATACTATTGTATTGAGTTCCTTAAATGCAGTGAGCCCCAGCACAATAATTGGGTTCATGGTTTATTCATAATAGGATATCCTAATGAATAAATACAATAAACAGTTCTGTAAAGTTAATTTTGTAGTTCACACTCCCACAACAGATGTTACTAATTATGCATCATGAGTGAAAATAAGTGTATATATTATTAAAAATAAATAAATAAATAGGGAATGAAAATTTTGTTCATCTGTCCATCAAGCTATGTTCTTGAATGCATTTTTTTTTTAAAGAGGTATATGTTCATGATGGGCTTCTTCAGGTAGTGGTCTTGCAATCATGTTGATACTGTTTCAGTTCTTAATCCTATATGCTATCAAGTAAATTTCCTCTAATTCCAAGACACCAATTCTATGCGACCGAACATAGCAATATTATCTATTGTTAGTAAATCCACTATGCAATTCATTGATATACTGTCTTCAGCATCTAGTCTGTTTTCTATTTGATCTCTTTCTATTGTTATTAGCATTTTAGTGGTGTTACTTGCCAGGTTTCAAAGATTGTGATTTGAAGTAAATTTTTTCCAATTCCATGCAACCGAACCGATCATTTTTCAATTTCTATTGTTCTAAGCATTTTAGTGGTGTTAGTGTTTCTTGCCAGGTTTCAAGGATTGTGATACCTGACTTTGTGAAGGTGAAACTTGCTAAAGATGGAATAGATGATGGACCACATTTTGTGCACAAGAATATACCTGAGTCTCTCCTGCTGGTATCGTTTTTATCCTTTTCTTATTGTTTCTATTTCTTATTGAATGATTTTCTTCCAGTCATGATATTAGTACAATAAGAAAAATATCTAAAAATCAAACCAGGTGCACTTAAAATGTATAACATAGTCAAAATTCCATGATTTGAGTAAAGTTATTATAGTAACTTCTACCCTATTCGTCTTGTATAGCTCCTAGTTATTTTAATGATATAAAGTATTAAATTGGTTGAATTATGAAGTACATATTGGTTACCAGAAGCTTCATTACTTTTGTTTCAGACCTCAAGTACGCATTCTGATTTGTGGTGTGAGGAGTAAGAGAATGTGAGGAACAGTAATTTATGTCCTACGAAACTTCGTAATGTATCTGAACGATAAAATCGTACTACTGTACGTAGTAATCCATGAAAATAAACTGTTTGTGTTTCACTAAGACCATTGCTTGTTAATTGTGTGTTTTTAAGTACTTAGTTGATCTCTTGGAATATTTTAGACCTCATTTGGGAGGAAGATAAACTAACGGTGGAAAATTTTTTTAGAAGTTTTGGAGAAACATTGTTATTGCTCCAGCAGGGCTTTATTTTGGCCGGAGAAGCTTTTTCCTCTGTCCATATAGATCATTTTCCGTTGGGCTGATGAAATATAGAAACTGTGTCAACTCAGAAGAATAATGCATCCAGTAAATAGTGAGATAATAATAGTAATATCTTATTAATATCAAATCCATGAAGAATGATACAAATTTACATGAAATTTAAAGGTGTTTAGATATTTTTGATGTTAGAAACCAAATCATTATTGGCTATTCTCATTGCTGTTGTATCAAACGCAGACAACATATTTGATGAGGATTTGAAATTGATATCAATTAATTAGTGTACACTGCCATGAGCAATTAAATGGTCCTGTTAAGTCTTTCTCGTGAATTTATTACACACGCATATATTTATATGTATCCCTTCCTCTGACGTTGACACATTAAAAAATAGAAAATGCCTGACGGTGACACATTAAAAAATAGAAAATGCCTGACATTGACACATTAAAAAATAGAAAATGAAGTTAAAAAGAGTTTATGCACCAGCCGGGAATCGAACCCGGGTCTGTACCGTGGCAGGGTACTATTCTACCACTAGACCACTGGTGCTTGCTGATTTGGATTTAAATTCATAATGTAAAATTACCAATTAATTCTGTGTATGACACAAAGAAATTGTCAGATTTTTGAAATTATGTGCCTGGACTATCCTTCCCTTTTTTACTTGTTGACTTTTTGCCTATTACAATGCCGTACAATTTGAATTTGCAAATTTTTTTTTGAGAGTACCAAATTTACATTATTGTGAAGTTTAAAAAAAGTTAGACGTACCTAATCTTACCTCATGTTTCAATGCATACATTGCACCATTCTTTGATGGGTTCTTCCTCAGCAAAACTTTCAATGCATACATTGCACCATTCTTTGATGGGTTCTTCCTCAGCGAAACTATATTGCTGCAGTAGGAACTGCCATAGCAACGCCACAACTAACACCACCACAACATTACCATCGCCACCACCACGCTACTGCAATGCACTTGCCCCCATGACCAATCCTCTCCACCACCATCGCACTTTCCACAGTGTGCCATGTCCATCAGAATGCGGCAACCTCTGAATTTCCAAAAATTGGCCTGTCAATAGACGAACAGGCCTCCTCCAAAACTGGGCTTATATCAAGTCCCACTACACAACAATGCTTCTAAACCAAGGCCCAAACAACCCCACAAAGGCCCATTGTGTATAAGCTAGAGCAATAATAATAATATATATGTACATATTATATGCTCTACCTCTCTTCCTTTCTTCTTCTTTTTTTTTTTTTTTTGCATAGTGCGTGTATCAGCCCTCCAAACACCATTTAAATTAGGAGTGTGATTCGAAAGTGAGACCTCAAGAATTTACCTGCTGGATTCCTACCAAAGCCGCTATGCTCCGAAGACATTTACTCTCTTTGATAGTTTTCTAAAATAAGGTTGATCATTATTATTTATAAAATTTGCACGTGTACGTCTTGAATCTTTCGAGTGCTCATCATTTTCAATGGTAGATCCAAAGATTTTGGCTACCATACCATATTACATTAATCAACTAATTAAAAATATTTTGTAGCATATTATGGTACAATACCCAATGAAGAGACCAATGCACTCTTTAACTAATTGCAATTTCCAATTTAGTAGTTTGGAGCACCTAAATAAGCTCGATATTATCTTATTCGGGAAGTTTAATTATTTGATCAATTCAATTCATATGATTAGTTCTGGGGGGACTACAAAGGTCTATGCTACAAATACTTTTACAACTTAAAAATTAAAAATAAACAATTCTATTATATATATGGAGACATAAGTAATACTCCGTAGTATACTAATATGGGTAATTAATGCTGCTTGACTCTTTCAAGGAAGTATAAAAATGATCCACGAAGCCAAATGCATGTATCATATTAATATATTTATATATATGAGCGTGTGATTATTATATTGTTGCCTTGTTTTTTCCTTTTTTTTATAGATAATGAAGTTTGAACTTTCATATTCTTGAGTTATCAATTTAATACTGAATTAAGACATCAATTAGCAATAAGTGTTTAGCTTTATATATATATATATATATCATGTGTTGCGTTGTAAATTTGCCAGTAGGTCTCATCTTTCAATATAAATAAAGTAGTACTCAATTGTTAAGGAAATAAAAAATATAAAATTTGTCTCTTCCATATGTCCATTAGGATCTCATATTTTAACATAAATGAAGTATGAATTTACTGTAAAAATAAATTAAAAATAGAAAAGTTGTCTATTACCAATGTGTGTTGGGCTTATGGAAAGAATCACGTTCGTTTAATTAAGAAATTTGGACATTAATTGTTGTCTCTACTTTTCAAGTTAGCAAGTCGCATCTTGACTCAGGCCTAGGTCTTAGGCAAGGTGTCTAGGGTGAGTTTTTCATTGTTGTTAGCTGCACTAGTTGTAGGCACCCTTATTTAAATGCTCTTTCAACCTAGTTTTATTTGATTAGGTTAATTGTTATTTTAGTTAATAACAAACTTCTTTAATTGAAATGATAAAGGTTAGGATTTTAAAATCTTGATTTTTTGGGGATGTTAGAACATTTCATAATTTATTATCGGACATATGTGGTTTCAAAAATAATATTGAAATAATTCCTCAAGAATGACTTTAAGATTGTGTTCTTGTGTATGGAATTGAAATTTGTAAAATTAGAGAAAAGTAATTTACAAAATTGAACAAATTTTTTTTCTAATTCTATCACTTTATATTTTAAGACTCTAATTTCATACAGCCGAACAAAATCTAAGGAAATTTAAACACTCAATCATCATAATGTAAAGTAGGAGTGAAGTCATCGTACATGTTTTTTGATTGCATATTGACTTAGACGAACTTGCTTCATTCCATAAGCACATCACATTGGTAATAGACAACTTTTCTATTTTAAATTTCTTTTAATGAGATCCTAATAGACATAGGTAACAGACAACATTTATATTTTTTTATTCCTTAACAATTGATTCGTACTTTATTTATATTAAAAGATGAGAGCTACAAGGAAAATATACAACCGTAATACATTATATATATGATTTCTATACCACAAGTTGCTCTAAAAGATGAGAGTTACAAGGCAAATTAACAATGCAATACATTATATATATAGAACAAGTTGCTCTCGTTAGAATATATTTCCATAATGTATTGTTACTTTGCCAACTTTTTCTTAGCAAAAAGCCACCAATTAAATCTTCTCTAGGCTTTATCTACCAAACTATAAATTTGTATAGTTTTCTTTCTGTATATTATATATAATATTTATTTTTATATTCAAATACAGAGCCCTTGACACAAGTCTTCTATCCACGCAAAAGCTAAAGTTAAATTTTACTCCAAGTGGGGTTTGGTTCAATCACAAGTGCCCCTTTCTCTGTATATACATGTGTGTGTGTGTGATCATACCTAATATTTCAAGCATCATCATCCTCTGAATTTGCTTAACAAGCTTAAAAAAACTCTCTTAAATATAAATTATTGAATTATTTTCGATTTCGAATTTGTGATATCATAGCGGAATAATAGAGCATACTGAGCGTGAGGATGAACGAGTTAGGCACTGACCAATATTCAGAGGCACTAAAACTTTCGACCTTGTTAAAAAATATCACTATTTATGATAATTATACAACTATAAAATATTATAAAATAATTAACATATAAGGGATAAAAGAGGATCAGTATGTGGGATCTATTGATATTGATGGATCCTAAGGCCCACCACAAAATGACGAGGAATTCACCAAGCTTAGTTATTACCTAATGATTCTAAATAAGCCACCACCTAATACCACCAATGCTGACCTGTACTGTAATTGACTCGCAAAACCAGTGGGTGCCAAATTAGAGGATTGTGTGTGAAGAGTAGGCATTAATTCCAAAAGGATCTAACGTCAAGTCATACAATAATATTATATATATTATTATTATTATTATTATATATATATTACTCGGTATACTTTCAAACTTCAAACCAACTTTTTTCTTGTAGGTGCCTAAAATATCTGACCTCATGAAGTGGGTTAGTGGGATAAGTAAATGGGCCACCAGGGCTGCTATCGAGACAAGCATAAAGTGACTATGTACGTACTCTAATTCAGATTCATGCATGCTTGGTTTTTTGCCATTTTCTCAGAAAACACACACAACACACACACACACACACACACACAAATGACCCATACTACACCCCATACCCTTCCATTTCCACTGGCTTCTTAGAGAACATGCACTACCCAAACTGTCATCTGCAAACCACATGCATATAAATGCTTTTTTATGGCATGAGTCTAGCTTTTGGGATAAGATGCATAAGATAAGATAATTGTGAAGGTAAGACAGAAATTTTAGTTTTTGATGAAATTAATGTAATAAAGCGTCCAACCATATGCACAATCTAGGTTAAAGTATCCAATTTGTATTGTTATGAGTGCAGACAAACTTAAAATGGTGCTGCTAAACCAGTCCACAAGTCTCCCGACGTTACGAAATCTGGAAAGGGTCAGACAGCCTTAGACAGCCTTACCTCCGTATGCAAAGGCTGCTTCCAATTTCAAACATGTGATCACAATGGAACAACAACCTTACTGTTGCACCGTCACACCATTGCCCACCCTCAAAACTAGTGTTACTGATATTGGATAACATATTTTCATACTAATGCCAATAAATCACTTAACAAAAGATAAAAAATAGACAAACGATTTCTTAAAGATTAGAAGCTAAGTACATAAATGTAAAAATAGACAAACGATTTCTCAATGAAATGGGGCATCCGGATATCCCAGCTGTACAGTATTTGTAGTTTTGGTGCATTGTCACATATACATGTTAAAACAAAATTTTCATCAATAAACAACGTCTACATAATGTATAAACTAATTAATCTTCAAACTTCCCTCAACATAGAAATGTTCATCTCTACTACAGTAATTTTACAGTCTATCCTAACAGGTCTACTTCATATAGTTTTTCATCTTCTCGTTTTCCAGTGGAAGGATGTGTTAATAATAATATTGATTATTTTAAATTTGATTAGCTATGCAATTATAACAATGCTGGAACACAATAAAAAAGAAAGAAGCCGAATTTTGTATACCATTTTGAATTTGAATGTTGTTTGTGTAACATCCACGTACTGAAACCTTCGCAAAGAGCGCGAGTTTCCCCATAGCAATGCTGTTTGTTTATTCTATCAAGAAGACTCCAGAAATTGCATGAAAGTACAGGGGGGCTGATGCATTGTGGCAGCTTACAGCTCCGTGTCATCATACAAACTTGTTTGCCTGCGGCAGAACTCTCTTAAGCTCATCGGCAATTCCTTGTAAAAGGACCGGTTTTCGAATAACTCCATTGATTCCAACCTGGAAGCTTCTTTTCAACACATCTTCATCCGAGCTTGCTGTCAAGGTAATAATCAATGGCCAGCTGCGACTTCGAAACTTCCGAATTCTAATGGCAACCTCGAACCCATCCAAATCAGGCATGTGAAGCTCCAAAAGGACGACTTGGAAAGAAGACACAGCTGGGCCAAGAGCACTAAGGCATTCATATCCAGATGAAACAGTGGAAACACTGCAGCCCAATTTTTCTAGCAACCTCCGGGTTACTGCCCTGTTCACATCATCATCATCAGCTAATAGAACTTGAAGGCCCCTGAATAGAGAGTTTGAATTTGGGTGTTCTGAAGATTCTCCGGATTCAGAGATGCCTATTACAATAGATGGCCGAACTTGGAACTGTAAAACGAGTGTCATGCTTTGATTCAGACCCTCTGGGTTTGGGACCACCCATATGTTCCCTTGCATCAACTGTCAATGAATCACCAAAAAAAATGTTTAGAAAAAAAAGACTTGTTGAAATAAAGGCAGAGACTATTCTGATATTTGGTTGCCCTTGTAATGTTTAAGAAATGCCAATGGTAAAAGGCGAAGTTCTTCTAGGAATGCAGTTTCTATGAGCGGAAAAAGGTGGCAGTTGAAAACCAAATTTATTATCACCACCATGAATTACTCCAGACCAAACCATTAATAAACCCAATAAAATTTGTACTCACAAAATACGTAATTCCAGCAATTGAATATAAAACAATACTCCCATCTATTTTTTGTTTGTGCAATTCATAATCCTTACCGGAATAGAACCAGAGACTACTCATTGGACATTTTTCTAGAAATTAGATACTTCATAAAAATGGTGCTATTAGCATTATCATAAATATCCTAGTTATTAAAGCTGTGAGTCATCTGCTGCTCATAACATATAAATACACATGCACACACAGATCATTCTCACCTGTACAAGCTTTTTGCATACACTGAAGCTGAAGCCTTCCTCAACTCCATTGCTGCAATATCTCCAACCACCCAACTTTGCTGTTACACTCGAGCCTACCAATTGAGAAGCACAATTATTTATCCCAATTTCGAACTTGACATGAACATACCCATCAGCCAAACTGGGTCTCCAGGTTGCCCATCTTTGATCATTCCTTCCCTGACTTCCACTCTCTGAGTAGACCCTAAATGTTAGACGGCCTCCTCCATTGCTGCCATCCAAAAGATTCCCAACCATATGCAGAATCACCTGAAAAACCCTTTTCTCATCGCCCATAACATGATCCGGCAAAGACTTTTCCACATCAATTGCAAAACCATAACCCCTATAAACACATAAGCACTTTGCAAGGCAAGCGGCTTCTTTTATCATGGAATGTAGCCGAAAAGACCTCATCTCTAATGGGAACCTTCCATTATCCTTGGTTGAAATGTCCATTACATCATTTATCAAGGTTGAAAGAACACTGCTGGTCTTAACCATAGCATCAACAATCATTCGTTGATGGCTACTCAAATTCTCATCCTGCATCATTGAAAGCAAACCTAAAATTGAGTGCATTGGTCTTCTCAATCCATTGCTCATTACCTTCTGAAACGAGTTCCTGGCCTGGCTTGCCATCATTGCATCCTGTTTTGCCTGTTGCAGCGCTCGATTTTGCTCCACTAATTTCTCCCTCATGAGCTGGGACTCTTCAAGCAAAGCAGCATGGGAAAGAGCCACAGCCACCTGATCAGCAACCACCTGTACTATCTCAAGTTCTTGATTGCTCCATGATCTAGATTGCCCACCTGGAAGAACCAAAGCCAATATTGAATAACAAGTCTGAATTAGTTCAGGGGTCCCACCTTTGAAGTTAGATACCCTCAACATTGGCATCCTAATTGCAGCCACAGGTCCAAGCTCATCAGACCCTCCACTGCTTGGAGCAGCAAGTGCCGAGTCAGGATCAAGTATCTTAACTCCATCGCTCTCCTTAATCTTTCTAACATCTGGGTCATTAATCGGAATTGAATAATTATATCTTTCCAGCCGATTCCTCCCTTTCAACTCATGTGTCAAGTTCAACTCAGTCTTATGCTCATTAGGCATCCAAACAGCACAGTTTTGTAAATCCAATGTCTTAGAAAGTTCAACCAAAGTTGTGTACAGGATCGTATGCCGATCAAGGGACTTGCGAATCTCTTGGGTGAGCATCCGAACATGCCACCCAGCCTCTCTCTGCTTCTTTATGTTTACAACCTCTCGACCAAGGTCCCATGTTTTCTTTTTCAACATAAATTCTCTCACTTTCACTTTGAGAAGCAAAGGTATCAGAGTGATAAGGGTTATGGCAGTGGCACAAGAGACTAGAGCAGTGAGGAATTTGAATATGGTGAGTGCTAACATTAGCTGAAATGGGTGCGGACCATAAGTCCAACCATTTAGTAAATGGGTCAACCCACATAGAACAATAAAGGCAATAAACTCGAATAGTACCCATTTGAATGGAACGTTTGAACAGCTAACAAAGTAAAGGAGCTCAATTGGGATCGAGAAATAGGCCACTGCTATTAAGAAATCACTCACTCTTTGACACTCCATAATCCTTTCGACGCTCCAAAAGCCCTCATCGTCACAATTACATCTGGGGAATCCATTATCAGCAGCTGAAATGGAGAAGAGAAGTGACGAAATCAACAACCCAGATGCTAATGCCTTTAACATTGCATCCAATGGACTGATATTTTAATCCATCTACAGATAAATTTTGGATCTTATTTATGCCCCCAATAGGATTAATGTGAAGATGGAGAACCCCACTTGAATTACAACATCAAAACACAAGCCTCTTACATTCATTTCCTGCACAAGAAATGTTCATAAAAATCACAACCCCATTAAGAAAGAGAAATTGAAGAAACCATTTTAAATTACGCAGACACAAATTCTCCAGCAAAATAGACAACCATTTCCATTAATTTGTGATCTAACAGTAAAAACCTCATGCCAAAAAGATTATATATATTAACCCGCTAAAGACCTAAACCCCTTTTTTTCCTATCCAAATAATTATCTAAATCTTCAAGAAAAAATTTTTTTTTTTTTTTTTCAAATCTTCTACAATATGTATAAGAAATTTCTGTCATACGGGAATGAATAAGACAACATAAATGCAGAAAACGAAATTAATCAATTGCAAGCAACCAAAGACACGTATTATAAACAACAATAAAAAAAATGAAATAACCCAGAAATTATAATTTTAAAAAGTAACAATAATAACAGGTAAAACTGTAAACCCAGAAACCTTTAACCTTCAAGAATACAGAAAAGACAGAAATGTAACCAAGGTAGTGACTGTACCTGAAGAATCCAAGCCACTGGTGATCAAAAACCTAGATTTTGGGTAACCCCATTTCAGATCTTATCCTTCAACCAATTGCAGGCAGACAAATTTACACGCATCTTCAGATATTTCACCACCACACTCTTATCCAAACCTTGAATCATCAAAAAATTCACAGCACCAATCCATCACCATCCAAATATATCATCAATCACTACACAGAAACACATATACAATCCCCAAATAATTACCATCAACACCAACCCAAAACTAAATTAACAAATCCCATAAAAAACAGATTTACAAAATGAGCAAAGAAATTAAAGTTTTTTCACCTTTCAGCTCACAACACCGATCACCTCGCGCCATGTAAAACGCTGATTCAGTACAGGCGGTGGGAGGGCACAAACTTTTCTTTTCCTTTTTAATTTTCACAAGTCGTAATGTATTGAGTATATACACTTTTGTAGAAGAAATTTCTTGGATACTTCCAATTTTTAACCTTTTCCCTCCGTCTCTCTGTCTACTCAAATTTTAAACAGAAGTTTCCGAGGGGAGGAGTTTAGAGAGAGAAAGAAGGGAGACTGTCTTGGGTAGAGAGAGAGAGAGAGAGAGAGGGGTGGAAGGAGGTTTGTCCGCGCCGTTGTATGATGGAGAACTGAAACAAGGGAGGAGAGAGAGAGAGAGATAGAGAGAGAGAGAAGAGAGGTTTTAAGGGAAGTGGGATCCACTTTCTTACATGAAGAGAACTTGGACGCACTTTTGTTCAGAGGCTAATGAAAATTGCTGATGATAGCTATGAAATTTTTTAATGTTACAGGGCCTATCAATTTTTAACACTGTATTAGAATATTAATTTAAATTTATATCTTTCTCTTTGAATAAGATTTCGTTTTCATTAGATTTCTTTATCTTAGATCTTTTCTCATTCCAAAGTGGAAGTTGGAGATTTCAATTCACTAAAAAAGTAATGGGAAAATTTGCTGAGAAAAAAAAAAAAAAAAGTATAGCAAACGAAAGAAAAATTATGTCCTTTGTCTTACTTGAAAATGGAGCCTAACATAAACACCATAGAGTCACTGTCACACTATCGATATAGTTTTTATTTTTTTCTATTTTTTATTATTGTTATTTTCAATTATAGCAAATAACTCATCTTGGAGGATCAAAATCCTCTCATGCACTATATTGCATCTGTGTCTCAGGCAATAAGAAAACTGTTGGGATGTAATTTATGAAAGTGTAAAGTGTATCACTAATTCTTCGGCGCCTTCCATTTCTCATCCCGTTAAACACGGGACTGTTTAAATCTATTTTTTATAAAACTCTTTAGTATTCCCTCCATCTTATAAAGAATTATCAAATTTTTTATTTTACTTGTCTCAAAATAATTATCACAATTTAAAATTCAAAATTCAATATATTATTTTTTTTAAAATTTTTTATTTACCATCCTTATTTCGAATATTTCTATTTATAAGATTACACGAGGTAGTGTTAAATGAAAAAAAAATGTGATATTTGGACTTTAAAAAATCTTTCACACACAAAATTATAGCAATATTTTTGTTGAGTAGGTATGCACACACATGCACCGGTTAAGGTCTTGTTAGGAAGTTGAGCCCTCAACATTTCATTTGAGAAGAGAAGGTACTACTTGAACTAAATCTTTAGTGTAATTTTATTTTTATTATAGTAAAAATTCTGAGTCTAGTTAAATTAAATCCCGAAAATAAATTTAATATTTTGGAATCTATCATTGAAAAGAAAAGAAAAAAATTATTATTGAAAAAATATATACTTTCTTGTATGAGTGATTGAAAAAACCAATTACCATTTTTTTTTTTTTTTTGAATGGTTTTACCAATTTAATTTATTAAAGGCCCGTTTGACAACCGCTTTTCTTTCGTATTTTTTGCTTTTGCCAGTGTACATCATAGTAAAGCAAAAACACAAAGGATGTTTGGTAACTTTTACTTTGCTATCATTTGAATAATACCTAACTTTCTGAAAAAGAGGCCAAAATTAGAAGCAAAAAATTAATACTTTTGGTTGCTTCCGCCTTGTAACAAAAACATTGTTCACCAAGAAAAAGAAAAAGAAAGAGAATATTTTGCATAGAAAATAAGAGATAAGGAGATTGACAACAATTAACTAGAAACTGAGGGCCTAGTATGCATTATTATTATTATTATTTTTTTTTAACCCAAAATAAAATAACTATTTTGTGTCATATTGTTTTAAATAATAATAAAAAATATGTTTGGTAGCATTCATTTGTTGTAAGGTTTTTTGGAAACAAAACATTAAAATATATTTGGTAAAAAAGTGTTGTAATTAAGTTTTAAAAATATATTGGTTAGTTTAAAAATGCCATTCAAAAGTTTTTTATTTTTATTGTTCATCGCTACACTACCTTTGTTATAAAATGTAAATATGTAAAACTACAAAATTAATATTTTAATTTTGATCACTATTCATCAAATATTTCGACCCCATACAAAATAAAACATTTTTTTTTTTATCAAATGCATTTTTTTTTGCCAAAAACATTATTACAGTACTCGACCTAAAATAAAAATACCAAAAACAATAAAAATGTATCACAGCCTGAAAGTAATTTTAAATCAGTAAAACAATCGAATGTAAAAGAAATGACTAAACAACTAATGTAAAAGGAGATATGATGTTTAATAATAGAATGCAAAAAAATAATTGTATGCGTATACATCTCAATTGTATGAGATGGAGGTAAGAATGATGATGGTGTGGATGACTTCACTTGTTGTTCTTCTTCATTTTGAATTAAAATTACACAATTGGCCTTCAAAGTTATTCTTCCACTTTATTTTGAATTTTCTTTTAATTTCACAACCTTACAAACATGAATATAATTGAAACAAAATTCTCTCACATGGGCAGTGAGACTATGGGAATCACTCCACCGGCTTTAATATCTTTGCTGTATATCAGTACAAAAATTTTTTACATGAAAGTTTCTTCAAAACAATAGAAAATTATTCTCTTTTTTACTTTTAATAATTTTTTTTTTTCTTTTAAAAAAACACCCACATTCCGTTCACACAAACTTTTTGCATGTCTGAGTTTGAACCGATATACCACTGGGCTGAGCCCTGTGTGATTTTGGGTTCATTTTTAATACGACGTAGTTTAAAGAAATGAAAAAATGTCCCGCTTTCGACATAAGATACATTTTCTGTCTTAAAATAAATCTCTCGTTTTAAAAAATTGTGACTCAAAAGAACGGTGGTGGGCAGTGATAGGGATGATTTGGCAGAGGAATTATTAATGTTTGATTGGGTTTTGGTAATGTAGACCGTCAGCTAAATATCATCATGCTGATGATATGAGAATCTTGACCGCAGGAACTATGCCGGATGGCATTTTTGACTAGGTCTAGGTCCCCCCACCCCTCTCTCTCTCTCTCTCTCTCTCTCTCTCTCACACACACACACACACACACACTCACACAAAATTTTTCTTAACCTATGTAGCACAAACTCGTTAATAGATATGACTTGTATGACTATTAATTATCATTTATAATTTTATTAAGAGAGTTAATACATTCATTTATTTTAAAAATTTTGGTCCAATGATATATTTCATTCAAAATATTATTTTTTGACACAACAATCATTATTTTTTTCCCCCATTCTTAATTACAATTTTCAACAACTATTTTTTTTTTTTTTAAGTGTATTTTATTTAGCTTATTTGCCTTATTAAAATAAATAAATAAAAACACTAACTTATATATATATATATACACACACACACAAGCACAACAAACATATATATATATGCACACAACAAACATATACATATATATACACGCAACATTGACATATATATATATACACAAGCACAATTGACATATATATACAAGCACAACGAACACACACACATATATATATATAAGCATAATACTAAATTGGCAACCCATGCGAGAGAGAAGGAAGAGAGCAATAGTAGATTTGACAATAGTTATATGTTGTGTTATATTTGGCACAATATTTGAGTCCATTTTAAATCCACATGTTATATTTTGAAAATAGCAGTCCAAATAGTAGCCCATTAAGGTTGCTCTGACATATATGTTAGTTTTAACTGTTTGCCTTGTCATTACAATTATACTTTATCATATGTATGAAATGTTAATTTTATCTAGAATAAAAAATAAAAAAAATTAAACAATTTGAACTTTGTTTTTAAAAATTGTTATATAATATGTTTGTATTTAAGAATATAGAATATGGGTTGGACAAGTGTCGAAATTAAAAAAAATATATTTAAATTATGAAAATGTTCATAAAGTATTGAACATAGCCGGATACATGTACTCCACTCCAATCGTTCATTATATATTTGTATGTAAGGGGAATGTGAAGCACGTGGGCGCGCGTGAGAGTAGATATCGTTAAAAATGTGGTCAACTTTGTTATGGCGTTAAGACAGATGGGGGCGCACGAGATGGTCCCTAATCATCCACCCATTCCATATATGGAAATCTCTACCTTGTAAATATACTAGGATTATAGTTGTACTATATATAGTATTTAATTTCTCACTTTAACCCTATAATTCCACAAAACTCACTGCTCCATAAACGATTCACACTCGACAGAGATGAGACATTATTTGTGCAAACGTTTGATTTTATATTATCATGGTCAAATAAATTAAATACATTCACCATGTAAATAACGTTCTTTTTACTTCTACATTCTTTTACCAAATGGTAAAAGTAGGAATTTTTTTTTTTTTTTAATGCCTTGGCAAGTCAAAGTAGGATTGTTTGTTATCAAAATAATGTATGGCGTGAAATCAATAGGGGTCTTTCTGGTATTACAGGAAAAAAAAAAGAAAAAAGAAAGAATAACTTAGTTATTAGATAAAAAAAATAATAATAATAAAAAAAGAGTGACACGGGGGATCGGGTTAACCTCATATAGTCATATTTTGTCTTGGACCCGCGAGATGTTATAAACAAGTAAGAGGATTTAGAAGAATAATAATAAATAAGTGGAAAACAGAGATAGTTGATGTAGAATTCTAGTTCAATCTGACCTAAAAAATTGGAAATAACGTCTGCATTACGTTCAATCTATTTTCATAACTAATGAAGGAAACCAATAGTTTTTAAACCTTGCGGGTAATTCAGCTAGTCAGACTTTGAGTTTGCTCCTCAATAGTCACTGATTTGAGTCTCCACAGAATCACTGGAGATTTACCCGATCGTTAATTGTAGGACCTCGTAAGATTAGTCAAGGTGCGTGCAAGTTGACACGAACACCCACAATTATCAAAAAAAGAAAAAAAGAAAGTTTGTTTTAAATTTCTTTTTTATTCTTTATGTGGGACCTTTTTATTGAATGTTCTTTTTTGTGAGGCCTTAGACAAGTGTCCCAATCTGATTGATAATAGAAAGAAAATATATAATAAAAAGAATTAATTAAAAAAATGATGATTACATGTTGTTATAGATTTGTGGATCTATAAATTTTTTTTTTCTTTGTCTAAGAGAAAAATGATAGATTAGAAGTTATAGGGTGCAAAGACTTAAAAGTCGAATCCCCAAGTTAACAACGAGCAACCCCGCCCACAGTGCATGTATAGTTTTTTTTTATGGGAACTAAATTAAGGTGCATGCATCCCCTGAAACGTCCTGTGTACTTGCTTTGAAAAATCAGTTCTTCATTTGTACAATTTTCGTCCTACAACATGACTGCAAGAAGGGCAAATCAGTGCCCTAAGGTTCTCTGCCAACATGAGTTGCAAGCAAGCTGTCAAAATGATCCTGCATGCATGTCCTGGGCTGTATGCAACGAATGTTTGCTAGTGATTAATATTCCAAAAATTGTATTCTTGCGGACTCTCGACAATGTCTTTACACATCACTCTTGTGTGACCTAAGTGAGCCTGATGAGAAAGGGTGTGAATAGTGACAACATCGAGAGTCGGTTATTTGGAGAATGATTATAGCTTCAATGTTTTTGATCATTCAGTAGGCACAATAGGCCAAGTT